ACCACCAATAGGTTGATTTTTTAACATGCAAGTTAGCATTGTGTAAACCACGAATCTAAATCCCTGAGTGAGAAAAGTAGCCCCGATACACCCATGCCGATATTCTACAAGTTATAAACTTGCTTTCAATCTGACCTAACTGGATGTCACCTAAACTAAAGAGGAACGATGAAACGCTACGGTGAAACACTACTACTTTACGGATCGGAAACCTGGCCGCTGCGCGCCGAGGATGTTAAGAGACTTTCACTGTTTGACCATCGATGTCTTCGCAGCACTGCCCGAATCTGGTGGGAACACCGGATCAGCAATGCTGAAGCTCGTCGAATGGTAATCGGGAAAATAAACTCATCCTTGATAGATGAACTGATCACACTGCATAGGTTGCGCTGGCTTCGCCACGTGCTGCGTATGCCAGTCGACCGACTTCTTCGAAGGGCTCTTTTCGCACAACCACGTGAAGGATGGAAGAGAACCAGAGGCGGTCAAACAATGACTTGGCAGCGAAGTATGAAAGCCATTACCAGCAAACTCAGCTGCGCTGGTCACTGCCGTCTTCCTGGATGGGGACCCCGAGACGGGCCACATCAATGGTTGGTGACATTGCATAGTTGCACCCTCAGTGGCGCTCGTGCATCCAAGCTATTGCCCTCACCTGACAGCCCACTGAAAGTGCTGGATTTATGCAGCAATTTATCATCTCCCGCATGCAATGCGCAGCTATCTACCCCACCTCTCCAAATCCTCGGCGAACGAAACTGTGGCAGCTACAACCAATGTACGACGAGTACGCGGTTCTTACATCTGACAATGATGATGATGTTGCAAATTCCAACCCACAATCTAGCGAGAACAGCTACAGCATACAAATTCATTCGCTGCAATTGGGAGTCATTTTTCCCACCAGCGGTCCCTTCCTGGATTGCTTAACTGACGTGCATACGTTATTTTTTCAAATGATCTCAGCTTCACAGTGAATAACCAATTAACTGGACAAATGTCGTCGTACCTCGAACTTCTCACAAGTTATCCGTGCTTCCGGCCAAACTTGTGCGGAAAGGCACTTAGACAACAGCATTATTTTACCAAACACAGTCGGTATTGAATCGTACTTTGTCTCATAGTACCCATAACTGCCATATCGTGGGCTATCACCGGCTGTTGGGCCTGAATACCATGCGTACAAGGATGCAAGCGCGTTCGTCCTATGCAATTCATGGACAAGGGCAGCTCTCAAGGCTGACAGGTGGCTTGTCTAATCAGCACGAGTCATACGACACACTACTCCTAACCCCTTGTTTGTTTGTATTGGCCGCTACACACATCCCGATTGTACGTTTGCGTGAGTTGTGTTTGGGCCTGTAAGCCACCGCTGAGGTGCATACAAACAGTCAACTTTGCGATTCGTTGGAGTTTTCTGTTCGTAAAGTATCTTCTTTTACAGGTATTTTCATATACGTGGAAATGTGCCTTGTCAAGTGCTTTTCTGTCAAGGGGGAAGGATGCGCCGCTCAAATTTCCCAGCTTCCTCGAGATAAAAACCAAGCGTCCTCTTACATTATAATCTGAAGACCAGACCTGTATTGTATATAAGTTGATCCAGTGTGAATGTATCAACTTGTATCTGTCGTTGGACTCACTCACATTGAATACGCACCCCAAAACTGAGCACGTCTATCACGAAGATAAGACGAGACGGATTGAGTGTTATCAGTTGATGACGATTTTTTATGATAGTGAGATGCGTGCTAGTGGCTGTCCGAGTTTATCGAAATAACAGAACTCACGTTCACACCGCTCCGGCACAATCATTCTGATGAGTCCACACCAAGGGTAGGAGCACTCGACTCGAATGGCACGTGCGCTGTACTAATCTCATTCAGCTGAACATGGTCATGCTACAGAGGCGTGATTCGTTTACCAAACGCAACCAATCAAAGATTGCCTAGCCGGTTTCGAGCGTCCGTGGCTCTCCGGAAAAGGAACTCCTGACAGGCAGGCAAACCAATTAATTGACACAACCAGGACAACTGCGGGGTCAATGTTCGAGACATCGGGCAAACCAACCACATCTTCCTAGCGTAGCAGTGAACGGCTCGTTGTAGAAACACACCAACCAGCAAACTACAACTTTTACGCATTGACAGGTGGTTCGCGTGCCCGGAATAGGCATAGGAAAGGGCCTCACACGTTAGGTACGATCAACGATATGCACTACTCATGAACCCTAAGGAGAACGTAACTCGAGTCCAGTGCTCCGCAATTTGCGGTAGACCAAGATAAGTGAATTTCTATTTTGGAGCGACTCGAAATCACCAGTTGCTAGGGTCAATGTGGGAAGAGAGCTGATTAAGGCATGCAGACTAAAATACAAGGACCGAAACAGTCAGCTGAATGATTTTGTTTTATATTAGTGCGTCAGGATTTAGCACATCAGTTTTCAATTAGTACAGGGCTATATCTCCGGCTTCTTATACCAGGGAAGAGATAACCCATCGGCCATATACCGTGTTGGATATTCTCTGGACCTTTCACTAAGGAATATAAGAAAAACGTTGGATTTCTTCATCCCCCTTTCTGTCTGTTTCTCTCTTTCTCTTACAACGACAGCATCCCCCTTATGACTATAGTATCTTGTAAGGCTACTAGTGGGGTGTACTACGGTTCCCAATTTGACTAAGTTTTGGAGGGACAGGGTGGCGAGTCGATTAGATGCAGGAAGAGCAGGAGGAAAGAAACATCCCAAACCACTTACTTTCTAAAGATAATTTGGACTTCCTTACGTCGTTGCTATGCTACGACAAAAACTTATCTCTGAACACTACTATTTCCTACTTTTCTTACCGAGACTGGGTTCAGATATGCACGGTCATACGTACATCTATTCTTTCAGCAACTAAAGCCCGGTAAACACGAGTTTGGTTTAGTGGAGTATTAGGTGTAGCAGCGAACGGCTCGTTTTAGAAACACAACAAACATCAAATATAAATTGTATGCATCGACAAGTGGTTCGCGTGCCCGGAATAGGCATAGGAACGATATCGCGTCAGGCAATCCGTTGCTGAAAGTCGTATACTCGAAGGTGAATTAT